CCTGCCCCACTAAAAAGTGAGCCGGCCGCAATGCGAGGCAGTGCATTCTGGTTAGAATCGGGCCGGAATGCACTGCCTGTGGTGTGAACGGGCCCTTAGGGTGTAGGCTGGTGTGAATAAGCCCTACTAAATACAAAGCTGCATTAATTTGTGTCTTTTATAGCTGCCTGGAGTTCAGCTTTAAAACAGATTTGTCAGTATTTTTTCTTCTTACATAGTTACATAGCTAGTCAGGTTGAAAAAAGTCCATCGAGTTCAACCTATAGAGTATTTTATGGAGTGACAGGGTGTCACCCAGGCAGGAAATGAAGGACAATTTTGCCAATGAAGATGCAAATGGGAATAACACTCATCCTTAGCCGTCATTCACACTGGAATCGGCCGGCCCGTACAGCTCCGTGCTGCGTGCACGCAGCACGGAGCTGTACGTGCCGGCCGATTGCCGTGTGAATGAGCCCTTCCCCTATCCAATGCCAAAAATTATGTCTGGGATTGAGGAGCAGAAATACTGCTACCAGACTCTCTAAGAGACATCATCTCTGGGTGGGCTAATGCTGAAAAGGGTCTCATCTGCTCAACAGTGTTGCAACTACAGCCCAGAAAGTGTTTTTCAAAGCAGTTTTTCCTCACACAGGGTAGAGCTGTCCCTCCACTGGCATCACACACAAAAATTGACGAAAGAAAAAAAATGAGAATTTCAGATAATAATTTAGAATAACAAGGGTGTTATGTGAACTACTATTCTGTGCTCTATGTATAATGAGCTTTAAATGGGATAAAAAAAGACGGCATTAACTGAGGCATTCACAAAGGCTATGCTGCATATCAAGAGGTTTAAGTACGTATTTATTTTATGTAAGTGCCGTAATTAGAATTCAAAATGCAATTTTATTCCGAAAAAAAAAACCGTAGTGTGTAACATCGCAGTTCTAGGAAAGAGTCTACTCCAGCTTCTGTAGAGTAAAATTGGATGAACGGGAAAATGAGTCCTTTGGCTATAATGAGCTGGCCTAAAAAGAGGTCTGCAACAAAACTAAAGGCAATTCGAAAAACACTTAACACCCACAGCAGATAACCCATTACTGGGAATCCAAGTGCTTCTGAACTTTATGACTGTACAATCGATGATCTGTGATTGGCATATTATACGAGTTAGAGATGACGTATCTGTCAGGAAGCATCAATGCTCTAATAGGGCATCAATAATCTTTTTCAATCCTACCCCTGCCATGGTCTTGTGCACATTTTCTAAGGGGAGCAATAACAGAACATTGCATACAAAAAAAAAAAGAAAGAAAGAAATGGTATCCAGAACGTTATAGATAAGAATACATTACAACATTTTTTTTATAAATCACAATTAAAAAAAACGTGCAAACGTCATGATCCCATCCCACAAACCCATGAAGTGAGCATTAAAATGCAACTGAAGTCAAAACTTTATTTTAAGGTTTGTATAGAGTTGAGAGGGATTAGAACACCTGGTACACTTGATCAGTACACAATCTCCCTTTGATCTACTCTCCAGTCCCGGAATGCAGGAAGTGATGGATATGTCTCTGGGGGTCCCTAGGTGATATTAGGGGTCTTTGAGACGCCTGATGTCTTCATAAAGAGGACCGGACATGTAAATTGGCTATCACATGGGGGCTTCTTAGCCCCCCCATGTTATAGCAATAAAGTTGTGTAAAAAAAAAAATTAAAAAAGAAAACAACGATTGTGCCTATTGTGCCGCACATGTTACATATAACCACGAACGTCGGAGTGTGAGCAATAATTTAAGGGCCCTTAATTACTGATAACACTAAACTAATGAGGGGTAAAAGCGTTTTAAGCGTCGACTATGGCCAATTTTCAGAGTGATCATTTTTTTGCAATTTTGTGGGCGCACGCAATTTTAAGGCTATTTACCCGACGTGACCCTGTCTTTTAAGTTTTACCAAAATATGGGTAAGAATAAATGTTTTATAACATAACGTAGGGAAAACATTTTTATTCGAAATTTACGGTACTTTTTTCATTATGTAGTAAAAAATAACCCCCCCCCCCAGTGGTGATAATATACCTCCAAAAGAAAGCTCTATCTGTCCCCAAAAAATGTTATCATAAATGGCAAGGCTATAGTCCGGTCATGCTGACTGGTGACATTTTTGACTGACTGGTGAGACACCCTAAAATTTTTCAAGCCCTGTACATTGGACTCCAGAACCTCCTACTGAGGTGATTCATCTAGGATTAGCTGTTTTTTAAAATCAGCCCTATATAGCCCCTACAATACAAGCAATCAAGCATCAGGATAGGATCACATTCTCATCACAGCAAGGCAACAGCAGCAGTATTATCTGGGGAATGGAAGGATAGATACACTATCACAGAGTTCTGTGGACTCAGAAGCTTTCTATAGCACTGTATCTTTGGAGCATGAAAATGCCAGATATAAAATAATCAACTGACTGAGTTTAGTGCTATCCACAAAGAACAACCGCAGTAGCACTAGCTCCCTATAGGCTAGCATGTAGCCAGATGTACAAATGTATGAATCTAAATTGGGCAAATTCAGCACATGCTCTGTTCAGCAAAAAAAAACAGCAGGTACACAGATAATCGGCTTCTGTTTAAGTTTAGGGGATTGTTCATACTGATATGTGCACTGCCTGGATTCTCCAGAAACTGAAAAACACCAGTCACTGCTAGGGCACATAGAAAACAATTGTTCACCATACTGCGGCGGTGATGTGGGGTGCAGAGCACTAGTCCGTGAAGTACAGGTACTACACCATGCTGCTGTGCATGGACCTGGATTGAGTGTACACTTTGTACGCTCCAAAGAAAGTTCTAAAAAATAAAAAGTAAACAGTGTGATGCGCCGAGACATCACATCACACCGCCTGCTGTCAGACCTGTCACAACACACCAACCTGTCTGCTAAAATGCTCTAGGGGAACGTGAATGTAGCCTAAAGACATATTAAAGCTTTAACAATTTTTTTACCAAGTCCTACTAGTGGGGTGCAAGGCTTACAGTACATGCTGCTTCATGACTTCCTGCAGTTGTTCTTTCACCTTGATTCAGCCGCTCCACTCAGCACTAGCAAAGCTCTCCCTTTTTGGGAGTGGCTACTTTACTTTATAGGGTCCTATGGAGCCACCCTTGCATGCACACTTCTGGCCGGGAGTTGTGTCAATCAACATAAACACACAGCCCAGCAGGCCTTAGGATGAAAAGCCATTCCCCTTTTTTTTTCTCGTATATAAATGTTCTTTAGTTTAAGGAACCATTTCCAAATTAGACCTAGGAATATATACAAAAAATGCACTCTATTTCCAGTGCCCAGCATTTCTATTAAGCAGAACATGCCATTGTACGTGCTTTTGGTGGTGGACATGGGTCACAATGGACACCTTGACCGGCCCTGCAGCTACACACCACTATATGCAACAAACTCCAATGCTCTGTGTGTTCAGACACCTTCTATCGGAACCGGCATTAACTTTTTCAGCAAGTTGAGCTACAGTAGCTCTTCTATTGGATCGGTCTACACAGGCCAGCATTTGCTCCCCACATGCATCAATAAGCCTTGGCCGCCCATGAACCTGTCACCTGTTACCCTACCTTGGACCACTTTTGGTAGGTCCTGATCACTGCAGACCGGGAACATCCCACAAGAGCTGCACATTTTGCCCCATCGTCCAACCATCACAGTTTTGCTGTTGTCAAAGATGCACAAAACCTTAAACTTTCCAATTTTTTCTGCTTCCTTCCAAAACACCAACTTCAGGGACAAAATGTTTACTTGATGCCTAAAATATCCCACCCGCTTCCAGGTGCCATTGTAAGGTGATTATCAATGTTATTCCCTTTGGCTGATCGGGATAGATATAGATA